CCCGAGCGTGGGGCGCTGGGGCATTGCCTCGCTGGCCCTGCGCTCAGCCGCGGGCGGCGGCACGATGCGGTGTGGATGGGAGAGGCGGCCGGGGAGTCGGGCTGGTGCACGGCGGTGGCGGCGTGGGCAGTGGGGACGCGGGTTGTGGCGGTGCAAAGCCTGCGTAGCTAAGACAGGCAGGAGACGCGGCCCCGGCGGGGGGGACGCGACCGCTTCCCTCGCGTGGCTGGGCTGAGGCGGCCCTGCGTCCGAGGCGAGGGGGAAGTTTCTGTCAGAGAATGTTTACACTGCAATTGGAAACCTGCAGCTGGCTCATGCCGAGCAACTCAGGGCTTGGGCCAAGGGCTTGTTTATTATGGTGCAGTCATTTGGGGTTGGGCTGGCGCTTGGGACCCCTCATGGGAATCCGCTGGTATGAGCCAGCCATAGATTTTATAATTGCTGTATAGACATATCCTTGCAGTAATGCATGTTCTAACCCAACTGCTGAGCATGGCACTTGCTGCAGTGGGAAGTGTTGGTTAGTATGGGCTTGACAGGACACTGTGTTCTTGCCTGGTTCCTCCACTCACATAAGTGTCTTGTAAACAAGTCAGAGTGATGTCTGTCTGTAATTTGGGAATAATGATTTTTGCTTTGGTGACAGAGGGGGACATGATTCACTTTTTGAACACCAATTTACGTACATAAAGTGCTATGTCAGAACAAGTATTTCTGGAGGGCAAAGATGATTTGGGAGGGTGAGGAAAGGTTAGGGATGCGCTCAGACTTGTCTGACTTCTAATACTCTTAGCATTTACACATGAGAGCAAAAAACATAGAGGGAGAAGAAACTGAGAAAAAATGTAGTACTTCTGTAGAGCTCTGGTTCTCAGCTAGAGAGGTCAAGGATCCCCTCTGGATCCCTGAACAGATTTCAGGGGGTTCACCAAGGACTGAGCTTGAGCCCTGCCACCTCCTCTTCTTGATTCCCCTCTGGGCTGCGCAGCTTTTCTGGGTTAAGGGGATGCAACCAAAAAAGGCAGCATCACTGCAGAGCTCCACCTGTAATAAGAAGGGATAGCTTCTTGGACATTGACTCCATGAGCAGGCATCAGCTAGCTGAAGAGAGTAGGGATGTTAAATTTAAATTAATTGGTTAATTGAATGGTCAATGCAATTTGCATCCACTATTTGATTAGTCAGTAAAGGTACCTCAGCCTTTGAAGTGTAGCACAGTCCCAGGGCTGCTGCTACACTTCAAAGACAAAAGCACTGTGGGGAGCATGAGGCTAGCAGGGAACTCAAGCAGCCCCCTGCTGGCCCTGTGTTACCAGCGGCATTTCTAAGCGGCAGCGCTGCATGTAACCTTGGCTGCACACGGTGTTTCAAAGCAGCAGCACCACGTGGAGCCCAGGGTTTGGTCACAGGCTCTATGCAGTGCTGCTGCTTTGAGGCACTCTCTACTGTTTCCCCCTCCCCGGACCCTTACTGCCTCTTTCTGCTAGTTGCCTAGTGTGTTGACTATCCAATAAGCAAATGCTAGTCATTCACATCCCTAGAGGAGAGATACCACTGTTCTGCCCTGCTACATCAGCACTTCAGGGAGCAGGGCCAAAAGGAAGGTAGAAATCTGGAGGTGGGGGACACATGACTCCATGTGCCTCCCACTACCCTATCCATCGCTTCTGGGAGGGGATCTGCAGGTTTATTTAAGTTTACAGGTATCTGTCTTAAAAAAAGGTTTTGAACCACTGCTGTAGACTGCTAATCTCAGTTCAGTACCAGGAGCTGTGTGATACACTAGAACCCTGGGGTCCTGCGGACCAAAACTAGGAGTTCCGCGAGGAGCCAGCACTCTCCCGCCCGCTCTGAAAAAGAGAGAGAGAGCCAGCTAGCCAGCAGAGGCATGGGCGGCGAGCTGTGTGGGCTCGTGGTGCCCATGCTCCATCAATATTTGGAGCTGGAACGGGTCCTGACCCCACCTCCCTCCGCGCATCCTCCCACCCCGGCCCCAGAGCATCTCTCCCCCGTCCTTGTCCTGGTCCTGTCCCTGCCGTGCGCATCCTTCTCTGAGCTCCCCCTTGCTGGCTGCTGCTGCCTTGCGCAGCATGCTCAAACCAGTGGGTGGGGAGACGCCCGGATGTGACGTAACGTCACGGCCTGGGATTTTAAACCTGCTCGGTGCTGTGTTGTGCCACATGGCTGAGTTGTAGGTTCGGAGTCCAGGGACAGAGCACAGACTCCAGCCCCGCAAAGTGAAAGGCAGAAGGTATGGGAGAGGGAGAGGGAGGGAAGGGGCTTGTGCAGAGGGGAAGGGGAAGGGCTGGGAGAAGAAGGTGCTTGTGCGGAGGCGGAGGGGAAGGGGAAGGCACCAAAGGGACAGGGGTGGAGGAGAGACAAATGGCAGGGGACCAAGTGCAGACAATGAGTAAAAAGGCAGGAGGGGAGGTGTCAGTGGGAGGGGGACAGGGTGATGCTGGGAGGGGAGAGGGTAAGGGTATTGGGGGCTAGAGAGGCTTGAAAGAAGGGGTGGGCATGAGGAAGGCGGGGATGGAGCAAGTCATGTTAGAGGGCACAAGGGCACGAGGAGAATGGGGGCAGAAGGTGGTGAGGGGTGGGCATCAGGGAAAAAGGGGGCAGGGGAAGTGAGGGAAGAGGGAGGCACCGGGAGGGTGCAGGGGTAAGAGAAGGTGCAGGTGCCAAGGGATTCTGAGGGTGAAGCAGAAGGGCAGACACCTGCAGGGGAGGGACCAGTATCAGAGGAGAGACTCAGGGCAGGTTTGTAGAGGGAGGTGTTAGAAGAGGGGATGAGGAGGGGTAGCTCACATGATCAGAATGGGGCTCATGGAGGAGTGGGCACGGGGGGGGAGAGAAGGGCTGGTGGAGGGGGGGCAGGTTGCAGGAGGGCTGAGGGCAGTGAGAAGAGCAGGAGTCAGGACAGCAGAGGAGGGAGAGGAGAGAGGGGAATGAGGTGAGTGGTACCTGGCAGGGGTAGAAGAGGAGTAGATGTGGAGTGGAGCTGAAGCGAGCAAAAGCTTTGGCTTTGGCTGCTTCAGGTTCTACTAGGTGGATTCTCTCTGGCTTCTATGCACATAGTGGGAGGGAAGAGAAATGCAGGTTAGGTCCTAGTGACTCCAGACTGGGGAAATGTGCATTTGTGTCCCCTGCATAATTTCAGGCCCACGAGGGTGTCCCCTGGCTGGGGTCATTTTCCATCCTGCACCAAGTGCATTTGAACTAAAAGCAATTGGCATTATATGGTCTATGACATAGTCAAGCAGTTCCAGTTCTCTCCTGTAGAGAGCAGTAGACACACTAATCAATTGCCACACAACACACTCATACTAGAAAACTTTCAGTAATATTGTAAAGCGATACAAGGCCATAATAATATAGGCACTGTGTGACTTTGAGTTCTATTAATGGTGGGGAGTTCTGGGGTGGGTGTGTGTGTGTGGCATAGCAGCTCAGTTTGGCTGCAGGAGTAGGGAGGTGCTGGGAACCAGGGCTAGACTCAAGGGGGGAGAGGGGCAGGGAATCAGCTCTTGGCTCATCAGTTTTGTGGGTCTTGGGGGAGGGGCAGGGAAACGAGGCTCAGCTGTGCTTTGGGGGAGGCATGCAGGGAACCAGTGCAGGGCTCAGATGGGCTGAGGTGGATGGGGGAGGGCATACGGAGCAGACGGGCAGCTCAGAT